ATGTGTATAACCTGCGTTTGTGTCTCTTATAAAATGTATTTGCAATGAGTAAGTCATTGATTTTATGAAATTCACTGAATTTATGCCCAAGTTTGGTCACTAAACTTTTTTCTAAAGGACAAAAGAAAAGGAATGGCAGAAATAGAACTCTCTCTCTCTTTAATTTTTTTTAGTGAGCACATAGTTTATTTGTGATGAGTGAGTGACACAGCTGGGATGTGGGTGTTGGGGGCTGGGTAGGGCTGAGGGCAGTGCGGGAGCTGGAACTCCACATTGCAGGTGGGGAATGTCCTGTCCCGCATGGCCACAGTGCTGTAGCTGCCCAGCACCATGAGGCCTAAGGCCTGCTGCCTGGTGTGTGTCTCCTGGTATAACTCACATACGGTTGCCAACTCAAAGGCAGGGACCAGGGTTGCCTGCAGTTTGTGTATATTTTTAAAGGAGACTAGTAAAAATGTCATTATACCTTGATAAGGTCTAAAAGTAGTTGAAATTATATAAAAAAAAAAGTATTTCTCTGTAGACATGACTATGCCTTTTGGCATAGGGTAAAAGCCTCAGAAGAAATGTCAGCAAAATTTCCATTTTATAACAAGTAAGAAAGTAAGACATTAATTTCATTTATATGCTAACTAGGCTATATATTTGCTGCATAAAAACTTCCAATAACTCAAATGAATTAGTTTTTTGAGATTTTGGTTTTTTATATTTTAGTGATGCAAACATATTCTTCTGATGTAAACATATTTATGCTGTCAATACTTATAAGCCTTGTATTTAGTTTTATTCTGATAACAAAATTTTTCATCATCCTTTAAACCATACTGAACTTCTATCCTGTAAATCTATTCAAATGTTACAGGAACTAGAAGTCAATAGAACACCCACACCCAAGTACCCAGAAAAGACACGTAAGGTCTGATTCTGGAAATAGATCCAGCCAGTTATCATCTCAAAACTGAAAGGATCCCTACTATTATGACCTTCAAATTGGATAATACACAGGAAATCATCTGTGTTCAAATGTCATTCTAAACACCTGCTTGTAAGTCGGTTACAATTAATATCAACCCTCATTCGGGTTTCTCAGGCTGGTTTATTTGAATTACTGACCTTTTGGTTAGCAGCTAAATACATTACTCACCAGACTAGACCACCAAGCTCTGGTGACATTGTCCACAGGGAGTTGCACTGTACTGCTAACCCAAAGGCTCTCTGGCAGTTAGAATTTACTAGTGGCTCTGCAGGAGGGATGCAAGAAAAATGGCCAATCTCCTCCCTTTTAATTTACAGTCATGGAAACCCAACAGAGAGGGCCAGTTATGAATCAGTTCTGACTCTTAGGCAAAACCACTAAGGCTTCTTATTATCTTATGTGTTGTTCTTGTTTACCATTAAGTTAGAAGTGACCCTCAGCTGACCCTCCAGCAGGTTTTCAAAGAGAGTAAATTGCAGAGGAGAAATAACTGTCCATCCTTCTCCCACAGAGCAAGCTATGGATTCAAACCACATGCCCTTGGGACTGCAGCTCAGTTTCTTAGCACTAGGCCACCAGAGCTCTCTTATGTTATTCTAGGGAGTTTTATTTAAATCCAAATTGATCATAGAGTTAAGAGTCTAGGTTCCAAACTCACAAAAAAGTTGCCACAGAAATATGAAATTAACTCTTCTGTTCGTGATAATGATCTTGGGAAAGCCATTTATTTTACAGTTAATCTTTACTTTATTCTACTTCAAAATGGAAACAAATAATGTTATCTGGATGTGTTTATTTGTCAAATGAAGAATCAGGATACTGTTGTATAAATATTTATCAACTACAGAAATAGAAAGAACATCTCAGTGATGCTTATTTCCCCTACACTCAAATTTGTAAACTATGCATCAGAGGAGTACACCATCATCATCCATTTTTCCCGAGAATATAATCATAAAGGAAAACCTAATGGAGCCACTATTTTAATCCAATTTGTCCAGCTTTTTCATTCTTACTGAATGTAGTTCTAAGGGAATTATGGTGGAGGAGGGGAGAAAAAGCAATCATGCACAAAAAGCTTCTTGTGACAAAGTACTGAATGATGTCAGATACCAAGTTTTGTTTTATTTACGTTATACAAACAGCTACTAATTTTACCTTTGGTCTCTAGAGTGACTGGTTCAGAATTTTCTCCAGCCACAGCCTTGTTGCATGCTCTCACTCTGAAATTCATATACTTAGAATCAAATTTTAAACCTGCAAAAAAAGGAATGGTTTTTAGTCATCAAAGTAAAGGAAACTATCTCAGAAGTATGAACCTTAGAACAGACTTTCTGTCTTCCCTAAAAATACCCCCTTATTGAGGAAGAGTAGAATTTATGCTAAAAATAATGCTTAAAACAAGGGAAACATGATTAATATACTATTTTCTCCCAAAAATAGATTATACATAGAAGGTCATAGATTATTCTGATCAGTGGTTGGTTTTCATTTTTACTTTTTAAACTCTGCTAAAAAGCTTATCTTTTCAAGCTTCCTCAAAAGAAATTGTTATTCCGTTATGTGCCAGAGTTTCTCAGAACTCATAGTGAACCTAAGTACAATAGCTCTGAACCCGGCCCTAACCTGAGCCAGTCTCATTGACTTCAAGAAACCAACCCCCTCTGCCCCAGTCCACCTTTCCAAACATGATTTCATTAAAAAACTGAGCACAATTTAAAAAGTATAAAAAGTATATCCAACTACTGGTAATTTGTTTCTTCAAAAAAGAGTTTTTGTTTATAAAATAATGTTTTATATTAACAATAAATTTAAAGAGAAAATAACGTATGTAAAACAAAAAAATATTTTGTTCTTGTATTCATTTTTATCGCTGTTATAACAAATTACCACAAACATAATGGCTTAAAACACAACTAACTATCTTACAAGTATTTTTGTTTTGGTTTATTTTTAACAAGAAAAATTTTGAAGTTCTTTGGCTCTATATTAGAATGCCAATCCAAAAGTTAGATATGAGACCTTCAGCAAATTGCATCATAAAACCAACCAACTAGTTTATGGATGAACAAGGACATATTCTATTGATTAAATCAGATGCCCTGTACATAATACATTTACCTCAGTTCCTGGTAAATGGTAAGCACTCAATAATGGTAGTTATCACCATTCATAACAAGTATTAAATAACTCGGGCAATACTTAGCTATTTCAAATATTCAAAGTTCTCTAGAGATATCATTTTAAAAGCTTTTGAAAAGAATAGCCTGCAAATTTCCAATAGCAAGTTGCAGTCCTACTTTCAATATTAACACAAAAATATTTCTAAAACAGTAGATCAGTATTTACAGTATCAGCGAAATGAGGGGGTCTGCATACATATAAAGAAGTGGTAACTTTTTATTCAGCCAGAAAACCAAGGGTAAATTATATATTACTCTGGAATATACTTTCTAGAACTGTCTTCTCTTTATTACCTGTTTACACTAATCCCTTCATTACTTATTTAACACACATTCTGTTTTGCCAAGTTGTACATGTCTAGAAACAATTCAAACAAACAGTTCTTGGTATTTTAGAGGAAATTCACTTTGATAATGGATATATAAAGTTAAGTTTGCTAAAGAAATTTAATAACTTCATCTTTTAAAATAGTAAAATACACTTTTCAAGTACATTTATTTTCTGAGAATGAGACTCATAAGCACAAGTGTTTTACCTGGTAGTGTATATTCAGTACCCTTAATGTTATCAATTATCTCCCAGCATCTCTCATCTTTTACACGTGGAAGTCCATCAAAATTCGTTTTCCTATATTCTAATATAAAGTGGTCAATCTTATTATCTTCTTCTGGCATTCTCCATGCTACTGTTACTGCGTTGTCAGCCACCAAACACTCTGCTGGATCTATCTCTGGAGCTTTGGGAACTGGAAAAGAAAACCAAAAACAGCAAATAGAAAATCTCATTTAGTAAAACATTACTCTAGTACCAGGGAGGTTTGGGAGCACAGTCTGTAGGGAACTGCACTGCTAACCCAGTGGTGGCCACACGTAGCTCCTGAGGAAAAAGACAGGTCATTGCCACCTGTGAAACTTACCGGCACCTAAAACCCACTGGAGAGTTACCTGAGTCACCTTCCACTCAAGGCAATGAGTTTGAGTCTGAACCTAATATTTACTTTTGTTCAAATGATGCCTTTTCATCTTCCCTCTGAACTGTTAAAGTGAACCTGCTTAAGTGATGGAACACCCAACTCTATTTTTTTTAAAACTCTTTTTATTGCAAAACTATAAAAAAATCAAAGTTGGGTTTGTACGCTTATTAAAAGCCTGCTAAAATCCTATCTGGTGAAAAGCAAATTTCTATATACTAAGAATTAAAAAAAAAAAATCAACAATAACTTGTTACTTCTAAACACATTTTTTTTAAATTCTGTGTGTCAAATAGCTATGTGGTTAGTTGCTGTTGAGTTGGCTACTGAGTTGAAACCAGTCATAGATAATTCTCCAGCAGATTTTCAGAGGCAGTAAATCATATGGAATGAGACTGCCCATCGTTCTCCTTTGACCCACCTGCTTCTGGAACTGCAGTGCAGCTTCTTACAACTAGGCCACCAGATCTCCCCTCAAATTAAGACAGAAATATAGAGAGATGATAGATAGATAGATAGATAGATAGATAGATAGATAGATAGATAGATAGATAGATAGATAGATGATAGATAGATAATTGATAGATAATAGATAATTGATAGATAATAGAGAGATACAGAGAGATAATTATATATACACACACACACACACACACACACACATATAAATTAAAACCATACTGGGAAAAGTATAAAATGTTTTAAATCAAATGATCAAAATAATTCAAAATGGTATTTTTCAATATTTTATGGTAATTTCTCAGGACTAAAAAAAAAATTCACATACCCTAAAAAATATTTTGTGAATGTTTAAGAACTTTGTAAGTAAACCAGTATAAATAAAAATTTCTTTTGCAAAAAATCAAACCCTTTGTGATTAGCTTCTGTCAAGTTGTTCACCTAATGGTGACATTATGCACAATAAATGAGTCACTGTCCAGTCCTGTGTCGTTCTCAAAGTTGACTGTATATCTGAATGACCCAGGCTTTTCACTGGCTGGCTTTTGAAAAAAGGATTACTAGGCCTATTTTCTTAATTTGTCCTAGTTTGGAAGTTTTGCTAAACTTGTATCAGCATTATCATAGTGTTGGGTGTACAGGTGTGTGATAACGTCTGTCATCATCTCACCAGCTGTAATGAACATGATAGCTACTGATGGGAATAGAGTAATTAATTACATGACTTAGGGAGAGATGACGGCTTCTGAAGAGAGCCAGAACACTGTAAAGGTGTCTTAGTGGGGTCAAAAGCACAGAAATGTTTCTGATACTAATAAATCCAAAACAGCTACTGAGAGACTGCATCCTACTCTAACAGCCATTCATTTCCGTTACCCTCTTTTACCTTTAATTAGCTCTTCCTTCTTTTTGGTCTCTGCACAAGCTATTTTTCCATATAGATATGGCTGTAGTAAGTATATTAACACTGTCAGAGAGGGGCTATGGGGTCCCTATCCTGCAGTGAGAAACGAGGCAAGCTTAGATAAAAATCATAAGATCACAATCTTATGGGAGCATAATTTTGGGGAAGTCTGACTGATGAGATTGTTTGCTGCTCTACTTACCTATGTCCTATTCATTGTGTGAGAAAGAAGTATTTGTTGTTCTTACAGTTCAAATTATGCCGTGTTTATTCTCTGCTCTAAAGAGTCTTCTCTAAGAACATGTGAACAAGGCACCATGCACACATAAGCACAAGACTGACTCTACCGATAAGTGATGGCTGCAACTGAGTTACCCTCACCAGGAATCAAACAAAGGTCTCTCACTTGTAGGGTGAAAATCTTACTAGTATGCCACCACTGTCTCCATCTACAACTATGTAAAATTTGTTAAATGTTTCTCCCTCAAATTCCTATTTAATTACAATAAACTGTAGCAAATAAATAAAATGTACATTGTTGTTGTTAAGTGCCGCCGAGTTGCAGGTGACTCATAGCAACCCTATGAAGGAGAGTCCTCGATGCCTGGGTGTCTTTCATCCTCTCTCCAGGCTCATAGGGTTTCCAGAGGCAAGCTATTACGGAAGTGGATGCCACTCTTCCTTCCAAAAATGTACATATATGCACATTATTCAATCTCTCTTTCACTGCCTTACAACATTAAAAAATGTCCAATTTACATTAACAGGAAAACTGGAGAATATAATTCTCCCATAAAAAGATGTGTCCACATTATATGAAGCTATGAAATGTAGCAGGTACTGTCTTTAAGAATTCTTTTAGTGGGAAAAAGGAACTTAAAGGATTTATCTTGGTATGCTATATTGGTTAAACATTCAAAAATCAATAAATGTAACCAACTGTATCAAGAAGCTCATAAAAAAAGTAATGGTATTAACAAAGGAAAAAGAATTTGACCAACTTTAATACCACTCATAATGAAAATGTCAACAAAGTATGAAAGAAAGGGAAATGTCTTCAATTTCATAAAAAATACTTAAAATATTTAAAATGAACATTACACCTAATGGTGAAAAACGACAAGCTCTTCCCCTTCAGATTGAAAATGAGGCATGAATGTCTCTTCTCAGCATTCTCAGACAAGACAGTACTGAGAGCCCTCGTTAAATGTCACAAAGCAAGAAAAGGGGAAAAAAGGTACACAGATTGGGAAAGAATAAATAAAAGTGTCTTTGTTCACAGACAAAAGACAAAATATCTTTGTCCACACACAGAAAAATCCAAAAGATCGGCAAAAAAAAGTGTTTTGGAATTAATAAGCCATTATAGCAAAAATGTGGGATACAAGGTTAATATACAAAAGTCAATTGCTTTCCAACATACCAACAATGAATTTGAAATTAGAAATTTCAAAACATTACCATAATTCCATTTATGTTAACACTAAAGATAAATACTTACATCTAAGCTTAAAATATGAACAAGATCTTAATAAATATCTAAATAGATATTCTATATTCATTGCTGTTAAGAAGCCAGTTCTTCCCAAGATGGTCCATAGCCTCAACACAATCTCAATTGAAATCTCAGTAAGTTATCTTGTGGATACCGACAAAATCCTAAAATCTATATGTAAAGACGAACGATTCAGAGCCACTCTCACAACAACGAAGAAATCAAAACACAAACACTGCCTGACGTGAAGACCTGGGATAAAGTTACAGTGGCCAAGAAACACAGGACCTGTCACCTATTATTGTTGTGGACCACTGAGCTGGAACCAATCTATAGCTGCTCAGTGTGTTTTCAGAGGCAAAAATCAAACAGGAGGAGATTGTCCATCATTCTTCAGTAGATTTGAACTTTGCACTTTTGCATTGGCAGCACAATTCCTACCGTAAGAATAAAAATTAAAAACCCTAAAATCTGAAAACAGTGTTTATGATGATATAAGTTTACAGGTATTTACATATTTTCAGGACTATATAAAGTGATGGAATCTCTATCTAAATTTAAAAGGAACACATTTCTACTACAAGACACAGTGACACACTTTTCCAGATATATGTTGCTTAAGCATTTTGCTTAATACGCACTGTCTGTAAAAAAATACTATAAACCTCAATGCTTATCAAGAAAAATTAATTTACTACTACTATTCAGCCATGGTAAAGGGAATAAAATGTAATATATCAATAATATGAAACGGATTCCAATATATTACTAACAAAATTGTAAAAATATATTAATATAAATAGCACTGGTGGCACAAACCTTCCAGTTGATTCATGGGAAAATGACGTGGACTGGCTGTTACTTGGTTTTACACACACACATGTATATATGCTTCTATATGAAAAGTACCTGTTGTTAGGCATCATTGAATCAGCTCTGATTCACGCTGCAGCTAGATGCTGTCAAATATGACATACAGTGACCCTGTGAACTGATTTGAACCCTGTGACCCTGTGAACTAACTTGAACCCTGTCCTATCCTGGGCCAAACTCACAGTGTCTGACCTACTTGAGCCCACTGCTATAGTCACGGTGTCAAGCCGTCTGGTTAGGGGTCTTCCTTTTTCTCACCAACCCTCCACCTTTCTAAGCATTATGTCCTCTCTAAGGAATATTTTCTATAAACAACATGCCCAAAATATGTGAGATGAAGCTTTATCATCTTTGCCTCCAAGGAGCACTCTGGTTGCACCTTCTCCAAGACATATCTATTTGGTACTTTAGGAGTCCCTGAGGTATTCAGAACTCTTCTCCATTATCAGAACCCAAAGGCATCAATTCATCTTCTGTCATCCTTATGCACCGTCCAGCTCTCAGATGTGTAATAAGTGACTGAAAAGACCATCGCCTGAATCAGGAACACTTGAGACTTCAAACTGGCATGACTGCTCCCCAATAATCTGGAGTGGGCCCTGACTGTAGATTTTTCCAGTGCAATGTATCTCCTGAGCTAATGAATGGTGGTACCAAACGTACTGACTGTGGATCTAAGTAAGATAAATTTGTTGGTAGTTACAATCTCTTCTCCAACTATCAGAGAGAACAAATGATACACAAGAGAAAACAACACCAAGCACAAAACACTGCCCAGTCTGGTGACTCTCATATGATCCAGCTTTGCTACACTTCAACCCACTGCTGTGGTCACTGTATCAATCCATGTCATTGAGGGTCTTCCTCTTTCTTGCTGGCTACTTTGAGAAGTATAATGTCAGAGAGCTCTGGTAGCCTAGTGACAAGAAGCTGCACTGCAATCTTAGAGGTGTGCAGGTCAAATCCACCAGATGCTCTGCTGGAGAAGGAGGGGCAATCTCCTCTTGTGCCAGTAAGATCCTATTTGATGGTAGACACACACAAAATAATAAAAAAATTATATTTTGAAAAAAGTATATAGGGAGCTCTGGTGGCCTAGTGGCAAGAAACTGCACTGCAGTCCCAGAATTGCATGGTCCAAATCCACCAGATGCTCTGCTGGAGGAGGGACAATCTCCTCCAGTAGGGACAATCTCCTCCAGTACCAGTCAGATCTGATTTGATGGTACACACACAAAAATAATAAAATAAAAAAAAGTATAATGTCCTTCCTCAGGGGCTAATATGCTCAAATTATGTGTAGTAAAGTTTCCCCATCTTTGCTTCTGCAGAACCTTCTGTGTGTACTTCTTTAAAGAGAGATTTGGTCATTCCTATGGCAGTTCAGCATGTATTCTCTACTTTCCCCCAATACTATGAGGATGGCACAGGACAGGGCAGGGTTCAGGCTGGCTGTTCACAGGGTCGCTATGAATCATACTCAATGGCACCTAATAACAAGAACAACATATATGTAAAGCATTCACTCTTCTTTAGTTTCTTCATTTATATTTAATAGAAATTGCTATACAGTATGCTTAATCATATGAAACTGCCATTGTTGATGGCCAAACTTGTCAAATATTATATAAGTATAATTCTGTTCTTGTTTATAACCAAAGTTCCTGCTCTCATTCTAGTATCATTTTTCCTTCCAGAAACTCCTCTAGAACTTCTGGTCTATACCACAGAAGTTATTACTTCAGTTGTGTCATTCTTGTAACTTTATGATTTTCCAGTCATGTTTTAAAGTTTCTGACCATATATTCAGAAAAGAAAGCATTGATTTCATTCATACAGCTAACAGTACCTATTCGAAAACAGCTAACTTCTCGGGAAACAGAATAAACAAGACAGCTGCTAACAAAGAATCTACAAAATATTTCACTTCTAAGAGATTCTTTTAGCCTCCTCATTACCCTGTCCCAAGCAATTTTAACCATCTCATTACCATCACTTGACATTAAGGGGAAAAAAGAATCCTATCAAAAAGGTCCTTACTTGGCTCTTAATTCAGCAATACTTTGGGACTAATATTGAAATGACTTGGTTATTGGAATATTCTTGCACTAATTTTCTGGGTTAAGTGTTGGGCCTTCAAATAATAGGTTGGTAGTTTTACCCAAGGTCAGCTGCTCTGTGACAGAAAAATGAAGCAGTCTCTTCCCATGGGAAAAAAAAAAGACAGCCTCTAAAACTCAATGGAGGGGTGACTTGAGTTGGAACTGACTATGTGTAGTGAGAAAGTTTTAGAAAAGAAACATTAACACATTATCACTGGAAATAAGCATTTCATCTTGGTCAATAAGAGACACACAATAATGTCCGCACCTACCCATCACTGAGTGTTCACTACGTGCTAGGACTTTGTGAAGTGCTTCAGTGGTGCCAGTTCACATAGCTCGATTAAAAAAAAAATTATCCCTAGAGAAATAACATTGACATTTCAGAGAGAGCTCTGGTGGCCTAGTGGCAAGAAGCTGCATTGCAATCCCAAAGGCACAAAGTTCGAATCTACCAGATGCTCTGCTGGAGAAGGAGCGTCAATCTCCTCCTGGTGCGAGTCAGATCTGATTCTATGGTACACAACAAGAAAAACAAAAACAAAACAAAAACTGTTTCCAAAAAAAGAAAAATCTTAAACATTGACATTTCAAAGAGGCAAAGTTAAATATTTCTGTCTACACTGTCTTTCTCTGCCAAATTAGCAGCAAAATGTATCCTTAGGAGGACATTTAAAATGAAATTTTCACCATGACTAAGTAACTTAAAAATAAAATAATAAATTGAAATTATTTTTTACTTGAATGAAGAAAAGAAACAGCACTGCATTTAAAATATATCTCTCAATGTTCAATATGGGACTTAAGTTTTAAAAAAATTACAGAAAGCTTTACAGGCTATAATATGTATTTACCTGGCAAAAACTTCAACGTTTGCAGCATCTGTCTTTCCTGAGAGAAATCCACCATTAAGTGAGTCATGTTGTCACTGACTTTTGGTTTCAAAGAAAGGCGAAAGGCTGATGCCATTGTGACTCTATGGCAAACACAAATATATTTCTTAAAAGAAGTATCAAATAATTTTTAATTTATAAAATGAAAGAAATTGCTTCATCTATTGATTCCAGAAACTATGTAAGACAACAGAGTCAAATAGAAAGTTGGTCTCAAGTGTGTTTTAAAAATTAAATGAATAAAATATGTCCTAAAGACATACTGAAGACAAATTTTAGCACTTTTCCTCTGTCAGTTTTATAAAATTGCCTCTACAGGCAAATATTACTATTCAGGTAGAGAATAGGGCAGAGAATCTTTGACAGACCTACATTTATGTGAACCTCTGCACACTCCATCTCATAGACTTCCTGATGCCAATCTCACTCCTTTTCCTATGCCAAATAACAAATGATACACACACCTTGATCCTAGTATTTTCTTGACTGTCATAGCTACCCTGCATATTCTCCAACTGGAGTACATGTGCATTCATCAACTGTGTGTTATGTAACGACTACTAAAGATAGACCATGAGTATTAAAGGAGAAAAGAGAAATCTCATGTTGAGAAGTGTCATTCTAATGTAGCAACATCAGGTACACAAAAGGATATTACAGACAACAGCCCTGTGAACTGTAGGCCATAAAAATAACAGGAGTTCAACAAACAGTAATCAGATTAACACAAAGTGGGAAACCATTACCACTACACTTCACTTTACCTAAAGTATGGGAAAACTGTCAACACTCTCATATTCTATTAACTTGCAGTTTTATCTCAAACGTGTAATGTTTTATATTTTAGTAAATTCCTAAAAATATCACAAGGTAACTTCTCTTACCATTTTTGATCAAAGAATACTACAAAAATTATTCGTGACTGCTGTCATGCTTATACGTAGTTTGGGCAAGAAAGTAAACAGAGCAAAGGGGACAAAGGGCCTGCCAGGGAGATCTGTCAAATCAGCTCTTACAGATCAATAGGATGAAAGACAGCAAACTAATTCCATATACAGTTATTTTAATCTTAAAAGCTATAGTAGTAGTTTCTTCATCTAATAGCAAAAACAAACAGGAGCTGACTCATTCATCAAGAAAATGCTATATTGAAATAAAATTCATGAAGAAAACTCTTACATACTGAATGCTTATTACGTGCCAAGCATAATGCTTAGGTTTCACAAAGATTAAACTATTAAGTTAGATTTACATGGTCAAATTTCAGACTATAGCTTCAAGAAGTTAGAAACAAAGGCAAAGTATTCTATATATTGTTGTTTGTAAAGTCCAAAGTATTTTTTGATTTGGCTCTTCCCACACAGTATGGAGCAAGTCTGGCTGGTAACCCGGTCAGTGGCTGGAATTCAACAGCTGCTCCTCAGGAGAAGGTGTCAGTCTTTGCCTATAGAGATTTGCAGCATTGGAAAGGAAGGTCGCTATGCGTTGGCAGTTAAGTTTGGGTTTAAAAAGAGCTTTAAAGGAGCCTTGACAGTGTGGTGCTTTTTGCTTTGGGCTGCTAACACAAACCAGAAGAGTAGGCAGTTTGTTTCCATCAGTTGCTCTGTAGGGAAAAAGGATGAAGCCGTTTCCTCCTGTAAAGACACACAGCTTCAGAAACCAGAGGGAAGATGGGTCACAATGAAGGGGAATCAACTTGACCAAAGTGGGTTTAGTTCTGGTTTGGGAGAACTTTATATAGAGAAAGTAATTAATAAATTTTCACTGAATGAAGGTTGATAGGTTGAAAACTACCCAATTTCTTCTAAACTTGATCAGCTATTTAAAATGCAAGTGTCAGGAAAATATCAAAAGGAATTTTGCATCTGAAATCTTTAAGCTTTAATTAGTAAGATATCCAGAAAAAGAATGTTCCCCTAACAGTAAATTAGAAATTATTATCAAAAGGACTGCAAGGAGAACAAAACACGTTCTTCCTAGAGAAGGTGAGACCAGGCTGCTCCTTGGAGGTAAGGATTCTGAAGCTTCGTCTGACATACTCTGGACATGTTACAAGGCAGGGCCAGTCCTCAGAGAGGGACACCATGCTTGGAAGGATGGAGAGACAGCGCAAGAGAGGAAGACCTTCGATGAGAAAGATTAATTCAGTAACTGGGGTAATGGGGAGTAGGTGTGTCAGAGACAGTAAGATTGGTACAGGATAGAGCAGGGTTTAGGGCTGTTGTACATAGGGTCGCTATGAGTCGCAAGTGACTCGATGGCACACAACAACAACAACAAAAGAATAGTAATTTTTACTTTCTAGCCATGAAAACTTTCAATCTCACCAGGAATCAAGTTAGATATACAATTCTTTTCAGGAGATCAACCTTTTTTTTTTTTTTTAACTGACTAGATTTAAGACAATTGTGGCTAAAAGACTCAACAATTTAAAATTCATACATACTTCTCTATAAAATCTATACCGTTTAAGCTCTCTTATATAGTTTGGGTAGATTTTAATTTAGCTTGCCTTTCTTGGTTTATTTCTAGTAGCACAAAGTTAGGGTGTGCTGGTGGTCGAGAGGCAAAGAGTTGCACTGCCAACCAAAAAGCTGGTGGTTCCAATTCACCCGCTACTATGCAGGAGATAGATGGGACAATCTTCTGTGTGATTTACAGCCTCTGAAAACCTGCTGGGGAATCAGATGTGGGATCCGACTAGACAGCAAATAACAACAACAGCACAAAGTTGGTACCTCTTCTTTTTCTGTTCCCACCTCCATTATTTATTTCTTTTTGGATGCCCTGTCTTCATATCAAGGAAAAGTTTTCTTCTTCCCTTTGTGAAAATAATTATTTTATTGTGACTTTATGTTTAAATTGCTTTTATATTATAAAGTAGCAATTATAGATATCTAGAAGCTCATTTATCGGAAAAGCACCCAAAAAAAGAAAACAGAACAGCCTGAACATTATGATGCTAAGTTTTACCAAGGCTGGGGAAGGAAGAAATGAGAAGTTACTGCATACTGGGTAGTGAATTCATACTTCGGGTGATGAGAAAATTTTGGAAATAGATAATGGTATACTGTAAATGTAATTAATGCCAATGAACCATAAAAATTTAAATGGCTTAGAAGGCAAAAGAAACAAATGTGTCGGAAAATTAACAAGATCCAAAAACATTTCACAAGCAAGAAATAATAACTTCCCAGGTGGCCAAAAAGAAAGAATAAAATTTTACACAAGCAAAGAAAAAAATAAAATTAATGTAGGTTTCCCTGACAGATAAAGGAAATCCTAATTCTTGAGATCTGCCAGATATCTACTGATATCATGACAAAAAGTTAACTAAAGTTAAGAGCCAAAAAAGTCAAGTTTTAGTGAAGATAATATTTAACCATAAAATGAAATTCTAACAAAAAGGAAAAGTCAGGGGTAAAGACCATGGGGCGCGGGGGGGGGGGCAAACCATTTGGATCCACAGGAGAACAAAAAAATTTCTGCAAGACCTCTCACAAAATGTTTGAAGAACCAAAAGTGATTTTGAATGAATTTCCTTAACCAGAGATCAGGGACCAGAGGAAGCTCTATCGGAGTCATGGAGTTCAGCTGAAATAGGCCATATAACAAAGCCAGGATGGAAAATGGATATTTATGACCAATTGCAGTACATACAATCCAAAACTACTTTAAAAAAAACCCCACAAAACCAAAATCAACTATGTAGCATCCATTCCTAATAGAGTCAATATATTTGTATCTTTGAGCTATTATAATCTCCCTTTTCCAACATCTTCTACATCCTTGATTTATAAGACTTATCTATCTTTGACTACTCCATCATGTAAAATTTTTAAAATTCTAAAAATTATTTAACTAAAGCTCAACAGTTATCACCTCACAAGTTTAAGAACTTCAGAATTTTTAAGTATACAATTTCCATTATTTTCTTTTGATACTGTTTTTCTAGAAGTTAAATCCAATTAGAATGCAAATCATAACTTCTCTGCATTTAACTTCAAACTATCTTTAGAAAGATATAAAATTGTATATCAAAATTATTAGGGAATTTGTAACAAGTTTTTACAGGAATGTAACAGGGGAGAAGGTTTATTTTTTATGATTTGTAATCCGAAAGGTGGGTGATTTTAATCTGTGTCCCTCAGGCCTGGTTTTAATTGCTTTTGGCCAAACATTCTTCTAAGTGGTATAGCACTGCTCTGTCCATTTGCTGTACAGAGGTAACTCATGGTTGCTGTGATGCTGAACACTGTGACACTGAAGTGTCAAATGCAATAACGGTTACCCATGGTGGACAGTGTTTGGTGGAGTGCCCCAATTGAAACAAGCTTTGAAGCAAGGGTGGCATCCACTTCCAAAACAGCTTGCCTCTGGGAACTCTATGAACTTGGAGAAACAATGGAAGTTATACAAGTGTTCAGGTCTTTCGTTCACAGGGTCACTATGAGTCATCTATGACTCTACAGCACTTAACCACAACAAACAACAATCTTAAAGTATACTTTAATACTAAAGAATATTCTAAGTGTCATGCAAATTTTTGTCTCTAATGAACTATATAAAAGATCATTAGAGGGATGAAGACTTAGATTCAGCTCCAGTCAAGACTAACAATAGACACTGATTGTAATACAATCCATGCTGAATAATTTTTCAAATTATCTCCTGAATAATCTAGTATTCTGAGAGGGGCACTGAGGAGCTGCATGTACCTTTCAGAGAATCTCAGGTCCTTAGATGAAAATCATCTTAAGTGACAATCTCACTACAGTCAATTCTCAGTGACGAGCCAGGCAGCTCAAAATCATCCCTATGTCATAACCCCATTCCAAACATTGTCATGAGTTTCTTCAGGCCTTTAAGTATTTGTTGTAACAATTAATAAGCTCCCTTTCTTAATTCTGAATTTCAAGAAGACCTTTAAAGACAAAACCTGTCATCATCTCCTTCATTTTCTCCCGTATAAGCTAGATAGTAGTGGCATTAGGAGTAGACAGAGATGGCACCAGGAACAGGATGAAGTGAGAATGCAAAGGTGTTAGGGCAGTGAAGTAAAAGAGCTTGAGCTCTTGAGGAATATTCAAAATGCTGTGACTTCTCAGAAAATAAGGCAATCATATTTAAAATTAAAAAAACAACAAATACACATTCCAGGAACACATAGTTCAAATTATTTAAAATGCTTCTCATCTATCAGTACAGCTAATTAAGAACTGTACAGAAACTAAAACTAACTATATTTATAACAGAAATGAAATTCTTTGAAAGTGCATAATTTTTCACAGCTATGTTTTTAAAAATCATGCTCATATATTGATTAGTCTGAGAAAATATATAAAGGAAATTTTCTTTAGACTGAGCCATTATACTCTGGTATTTTTTATTTTAATCCACAAGATTCAAATAAGAGGTCGATTTTGAATTTCATTTCTGATTTCAATTATCGATAGTGAAATAAGATGTATGTTTGTATACCATACCTATCCTTGATCTGTCTGGCAGCCTTGGAGCAAGTCAGGGAGAAGAGAAAGAAGGCAGTTAGTGCTTTTCATGCAAGTTTCAATGGCGTGACATGCAAGAAAAGTTAGGATATAAACCCTGCAACCAATTAGCTCACATTCACCAAAACATCAAGTACAGGAAATTCTTATAGTCCCCATAAGCTTGCATAATGTGATGTTAGAATAAAATTAGAAAATCCAGATCCATGTGCAAATTACCTACAAGTAGTAAAACTGGCACTTTAAACTAGTTACAGATGACTATCAAAAACATTTTTTTCTTACCTTAAGATTATCAAAACACATGTCCACTTTCACTCAGCTGGATATACAACTAGAATAACCAACTGCCATCATGCATTTCCATGCACACTGATGCTTCTTATGAATTTCTGAATTGGTTCTCCTGCTTTTCTTCAGAGATTTCTTTCACAACTGATGCTGCTAAAGACAGTTGCACCACATTTTCTCTCTACGCTTTTACAGGGTAAGAACTTTGTACTCTAAAAGTTTGCCTGCTTACATATAAAACTAGGCTGCAATTTTGTACTCTTAAGACTAAAGATAACAATGCAAAATGCAGACTAGGAGAAAATAAAAAAATACTTTCTACATGGAGTTACACTTAGATAACTTCACAAACGCTGCCAAAAAAACTACTAAGAGTAAGAAGACTTTTTTTTAAAGAGTGATAGCACTAAAAAGGAGACACAGTTACGACATGGTGTAGTAATGGTCATCAAAATCTTAAAAAGGAAAAAAAAAGGCCCGAGTGTACCAAAGATTTACATACAGTACATTCTTTCAGTACCAGCCTATACTTCAGGGATGTATGTAGTTTGAATTCATCAGCTGCTCCGCGTAAAAGACGGGTAGTCTACTCCTGCCCAATTAACTGCCTCTGAAAAATCCACTGAAGGGTCAGCGATGAATCAGTTCAGATTCAACAACAACATGCTATTCTTCAATTTTCTCACAATACCTACCAACAATAATATATAATCTTAAAAAAATATTTTTCCCACACGAATCAGCAGAGTTCATAATGTATCTGGCGCAGAAGAGAACTGTTTTGTTCAACACCCCAAACCTAAGGCCTCTCATTTACCAAGTTTAGTTACCCATACCTTTTTATTTTAACATTAATTAAATGTATACAATAATGACAACGATGTTTCTGCTGTCTCTCTTCTTCAGTTCTATTACTGTCTTTTTTTTTTAAACTGGTCATCTTATACTAGAAACCAAACCCACTGCCAACAATCAAGTTGATTCCAACTCAGAGCAACCTTGTAGGGCAGAGTAGAATTGTTACAAGATTTCCAATGGTATAAATCTTCACAGAAGCCAACTGCCTTCATATTTCTCCTTCAAAACAGCTGGGAGTTTCAAACAGCCAGTGTTCTAGTAGGTAGCCAAATGCCTTAACCATGGTGCCACCGCAGTTCCTGGTCATTCTTATATCTACCTTAAAATATTTTTGCCCAAGTATTTTTCTATACTCAAAATTTTTTCTATAATGAATCTAATTAAGGATTAGAAGATCAATATATTACACAGGTTTAGCACTCCCCCTAATAAATTCTGTGACCTTGTACTTGAAGGTTGTGTTATGATCAAGAACACATCCTAACTATGTGGTCATTTCAACATGTACAGCTTCTTTCCTGTCAAAATTAGTATTTTCCAATACAAACTCCATTGTCTGATGTGTCATTTAATAAATGCAACATATTTTTTAAAAAAATACAGATTTACATCTCATGCCCTGATGGTACAGCAATTAAGCACTATGCAGAAGAAGGGTGTGGCAGTCTGTTTCTGTAAAGGTCAAAACTTTGTAAACCTTATGGGACAGTTCTACTCTGCCCGGCAGAGTTTGTTTATAAGTCATAAACCCCCAACAGAATAGGTTTTATTGCGTCTATATTTCTTTTTAATATTTTCATATATCCAAAGATAATGAGACAAAGTACTCTATTACAGTTCCCTAGTATTCTAAAATAATTATCTAATTCAGTAGTTAATGGAATAGTATTTTTGAAACACAATTTGGGATTAATTATAAAGTTGAAAACCTTTAAGGTTCTGTATTTTCTAAACAGATCAAAACTTTAGATTTCTAAATGTGTTTCGCATTATCAGAAATTATTAAATGCATCATCCAAACATAGAGAACATTAGGTCAGGTTTTAGGGTTTGGGGTTTTACCACATCACATTAGTGAACAAGTCAGTTAACTCTTTGAGGGTTCTAAGATACTGGTGAGCCCTCAAAGTTCACCACAAGCTACCTAAGCTGTAGACAGTAATTTATAAAAGTTATCTTCTCGCTTTGAAATGGAGCCAGACTATCTTATTTCACGTAAATCTTTTCACAAAATAAACAAGAATTTTTAACAATCTATATATTCTGAAATAGAGACTGAAATGGAGAAAGAACAGGAAGGGAGAAAGTAACTATAATTAAAATATTGACAGACCTCAGAAAAATGAGGAATACTCCCGTCTCTAAATGAGCCTGCTAGAGGGAAAGGTACAAGAATACTGAGCGTAACAATTCTAGCAAAAGTCAGAGGTTAAAACATGACTATCTGTCTAAAAGGCTTCTCTTTGTTTTTATTTGCAGTAAAGTTCAATAGAGCTAGAAACTCAAATATCACAAACTGAGGAACTCTTCAAGTCTTGTACATCTGTCTGCTCAATAATGTTTTATACTTCAGATTTTCCTATTACATTGGTGGTGTTGTTGTATGCCTTTAGAGTTGGAACTGACCCATAGCTGACCCTCCAGCAGCCCCTCCTTCTCCAGAAGAGCATCTGGTAAATTCAAACTGGGCACCTATGGGATTGAAGTGCAGCTTCTTGCCACTAGGCCACCAGAGCTTCCTGACAGCTAACGTTCTTATAGAGAGCTCTACCAGTGTACTACACAGTGAACTGCGCTGCTAAAGCAAAGGTCACATCTCCAGTGGCTGCTTCCACCAGGGGCGCCAGGGGAGAAGCCGGCGCTCTGTTCCTGTCACGGCCTCAGAAACTTCATGGGTGACAGCTGAGTCAGAACTGACTCGATGGCAGTGAGTTTTGGTTTTGAATTCTGTTATTCTGAAAAAATTACTAATGGGCAATCACTTAATTTTTATATGGCTTTCAAAATATCGTATTTACACTTTTGCTCTGCTACAAACAAACAATAACTTAAGAAAATGAGAGGGACTCAATCAAGGTGCGTCTCAAAATGGTACTTATATATTAGCCTTCAAAGACATGCAAAAAATGAAAATCAACTTTGGACTTAAGAGTCAAACCATTCTCTGCACAGTATCTGGATTTACTAATAACTGCAATTTCACTTTTTTTCTTCAAGAACAAAACTCAACTGCAAGCTATTTGCAGTTATTGTTATTGTTGCTGTTATGTGCCATCAAGTCGCTTGTGACTCATAGCAGTCAAAAGTGAAATTACTCACTTAAAAACCTCAACTCATGCTGCCGAGTTGGTTCCAAATCTGAGTGACTCTTCGTTGGGTTTCTGAGCCTATAAAGTGTGATGGGAAGAGCCTGCCTTCCTTTCTCCCGCAGAGCAGACGGTGAATGAGAACTGCCTGAGGCTTGAAGCCTTTAGGAAGCTGCATAATGGACTACGGACTACGCCACCAGAGCTCCTCAGATTCCGGTTAGCGGTTAGCGATGCTAAGTAAAAAGTCATTTCACTCATTCTCCAAATTGTTTAAGCTACTATCAGTACTGACAAGTGAAAGAAGATGAGACCAAAATAGCAGGATAGAACAAGCACATTAAGAAAATATATTCAAACCACAACGTAATTTTTTATGTTACAGAATCTTTCCAATTTGCAGTCAATTGAGAACAACTTTTACTAGAAATAAAATTGAAAAGAATAAAGAAACAGTGAGGAGGAGAGCACAAAGGAATAAGAAGAAAAGGAGTTTGAAAAACAGAAAGAGAAATTTGAGATAAACTTTTACCAAAGTTTTCCTGAGCATTAGATTTTACATGTTAATACAACTGGATTCCATATCCATTTTTTAGTACTTGGGTTCACATTTTATCATTTTGTCTTGGTCCTTACCCTCTCATGCTTAGGCCTGTTGAGTCTTATTGCTCTGATTATGCTTGCCACTAACAGTTGGGGAATATACTGGTAACTTGTTACTGTTGCTATGTGCCATCATGTCAGAAGTGTTTCACAGCTGACCATTCAGTGCCCATGTTTCTCCTGTGGAGCAGCGGTAGATTTGAACTGTCGTGTCTTTGAGTTGACAGTACAATTCTTTACCATTAGGCCAGCAACTCAAGACAACAAGAACTAACAAATTTAGTAGTTGTTGTTATTGATTGCCTGTGAGGCGAGTAGACTCACAGTGACCCTATTGAATAAAGCCTTTCTATAACTATTAACATATATCAAAGTTCATAGAGTTTCTAGAGGCATGTTGTTTAGGAAGTGGATGCCACTAGTATTAATGTGCAAATAAAGAATCAATGGATCCTGAAAAATACTCAGAATGACATATCTGAACTCTAAGAGGTTTATGAACTCTTAAGACAATGATTTTGACCACACAGATTTCTTTAATTTCTGCATATCTCATGATTATGTTATAAATACTTAAGGATATAACATAATGGCACTCTAAAAGGTTGTTATCATACTTTAAAAGTATGATACATTTTCCTCATAACGATGCTATATAAGAAATACTAATTCTAAGGTAAACTTCCATATAAACTATCTCCAAATTTAAGAATCTGTTAGTTTACTGAATTAGTTACAGCAAAAGAACTCTGTTTTGTTTTGCTGAAAGGAAGAATCAAATTTGAAGTTCAATTTCAAAATATCAATATACAAGCTAATAAAGGTTAGGAAGTTAGGGTTTTTTAAGCTGAATTTAAAAATACAAACATGTAAACCACTAAATGTTACCTTCTCAAAGATGTCTTTCTTTTTCCTACCTCAAGTTTATGGGAAAATAACAAAATTTTTTAAAACGTGCTAATGAATTAGAACGCCAAATCAAACACTAATATAGTTTACTATATAGTACACAAAGTTTAATTAAACAATATGAAACTCAGATGAGTTGTCCTGAGTTTCTAGCTTGAAGGAAATCTATTTAGTCTATTATTTTAGTCTTTTCAGTCCCTTAATTTTTTTACTGAGTTAATGTGACTTAACAATGTATTTCAGAGGACCTGAATGGCTCTCCCTGCTAAGGAATATTCGGAAAGAATAAAGTGTGGATTGTCCCAGGTCATGGTCAATTTTGGTGATTGATGAGTTCATTAATTTCATTAATTTCTTCACTGTGCCCATGACCATCTCACAAATGGTTCATGGAGAAGACCATCTGAGGCCATCTGTACACATCTCTGGAGGCTGGTCTGGTACTTGAGGTCACTTGTCAAAATGATTATGCAGTGGGTAAGGCTGCATTATACTGTTAATGTACACTGTAATTAACTGAGGTATCTCAAAGTTCATATTGTACGTCTGATTTTTTTAAACAGTAAAGCAAACACATTGTTGTATACTATCATGTTTTTTGTAACAGTGCAATTTGCATTGCAGTAATCCAACGTTCAATCATTTGCCTAAGATTTGATGTATTTATAATGAATGTAAACATTTTAACTTAATGGTATTTAAATAATTTTTTAAAAATGTTAACTTAGACATTCTTAAGCTTCTTTTACAATTACATCCCATTTCTGTATTTCCACTTGTTAAAAATACATCAAGAACAGGTATTCTCTCAGGAAAATTGCCTTTCTCCATTTGTTCAGAATTTTATATAAGAACACCAATATATTCCCTTTATTTTACTGTGGGATTTATGCCAGCAGAACTATGAACAGATACCAGTTGTAAAGCCTCTATGATATATCTAGACATCTTTAAACACTGTGACGAAGTCTGTGTACTGACTAACTCACAGGTAGGTTGGCTTACATGATTTTTTTTAATGGGATGTCACAGAAAGTTGTTTTACCAGCGTTTTAAAAATAAAGAGTGTATTGTTCTGTCTCAAAAAAATACAGAAAGATTCTATAATCCCTAAATTTTTATTTAATAAACAAATAATCATTTATAAATGACTACTTAAAATAAGCAGTAGAATCAAGAATTCATAATCTTTTAAACACCAAGATGTCAGTTATGAAATGAGCAGACTTCCTGTTCTAGTCTTTATAGGCTTTTTTAGTCTTCATAGTTTTATATCAAAGATAATCTACAAAATACATTCTTTTCTTTTAATAAAGTATTTAAACAATTAGTTAAGGAGTGAGACATCTATCCACAACATCAAGTATCACAACATTCCACTGTTTATATGCCTCAAATGATAATATATTTTCCTAACTGGTCCACAAACTGGAATAAAAATTGGATTTTAAAATATGCTAATAGCAGTATTAATCTTCTTTCTTTGGATATGAAATAATTATAACAGAATAGGACTTAGCCCACGTATATGAGTATCACTAAAACCAATTATAAGCACAAAATTAATTATAAAATGGCTTGATTAATTATAATCAAGTATTCAAGCAAAAATTAGGCTGAAATAAGACATATTTCTTGGAGTCTATTTTAAAATAAATATCTAGCATTTCACTTATCAAGATTCACTGCCTTTTATCATATTTTAAATGACTGAAAAATTCAAACCAAAGACGACACCACAATAGCCTTTTTTCTAGTATGTGCCCTTTAAAAGAGATTAATTTTTTTAGGTTTGGGTTTTATACCTTTGAAAATTCTTCAGGTTCCTTAATATCCAGTGATCGTGTTGCAAACTCTAACAGTTCTTCAGAATTCTCCAGGGCATTATTACACTGACTAAGTTGTGTCTGGAGAAACAGAAATGAAACAATTCAGTACGTCCACTGAATTGAACAAAATTTTAATACTGCATTAATCCACTACTCAAGAAAGACCTAAATGTTAAGAGGAGTAAAAAAGATGACAACCTGTCTCCACAAAGTTTACTATAACCATTAGAAATGTAAATATATATTATGTTATAACGACTTTACAAATTTGATGGCACTAATTAAACAAAAATATTTCAGAGAGCTATTAAAGTATTATATGTATTATATATATTATATACACATACACACATTTACATAAAAATACAATAAAATTTAACAATCATAATACTTTATACCTAACATTTTTCCATAATGTCTAAAATAACTAACTGCATGTAGATAGATATATTTCTCATTTAGAACACAAAAATAAGCAATTATGAACTGTTCCTGTTAGGTGCCACTGAACTGACCACAGCCCATGGTAACCCTATGGGTGATGGATGTGAACCCTGCCCTATCCTGTGCCATCCTCATCATCTCTACCGCACTGGTGCCCACTGTTACCATCACAGTATCAATCTACCTCACTGAAGGTCTTCTTCCTCGATGACCCTTCACTTTTCCAAGCATGGTATCTTTTCTCAAAGGACTGGCCTCTCTCCTAATGAAACACTCAACATAGGAGAGACAAAGTTTCACCATCATTCCCTCTAGAAGGAGCATCCTCATTGTTCTCTAAGACCATGTCTGTTTTCTTGACCATCCATGGGATATTTAGTACTCTCCGATGGCACCGCATCTCAAAGGTCCCTTCTGTAACCTTTATTCACTCTTCAACTCTTTGATGCACAGCGAGTTACTGAAAAGACCATGGCCTGACTCAGGTGGTCCTTAATCTTTAAACTGACATCCCTGTCTTACCACTTTGGAGAGGTTCCTGACCGCAGACTTTCCCAAGGCAACACACCTGACGTCCTGAGTGCTGGGACCAAGGCTGCTGACAGATTATTGTTATGTGTCGTCAAGTAAAGTATGACTCATAGCGACTCCCTGAATGACAGAACTGACCCTGTTCTATCCTGTGTCATCCCCATAATCTAGGACAACCTCAAGCCCATTGCTGCAGTCACTGTCAACCCAGGTGGTGGAGGATCTTCAGACTCTTCGCCATCCCTCCTCTTTTCCAAGCATGATGTCTCTTGGAGAGGGATAGTGGAGACTTGATGGTGGATATTAGAGCTAAATGTACTTACTATTTTCAATCAGTTGGAAAATGGTGTACAATTTAAAATGCCAAAATTCTTACTCTGACAATATTCTCTGTAACAAATACAAAATATTTTTTCATATTTATAGCAATATGTGACTCTAAGAAGCCCTAGTGGTACAGTGATTAAAGTGAACCAAAAAGTTGGCAGTCTGAACCTACCAGTGGTTCTCAGGAAGAAAGACCTGTAACCTGGTTCTGTAAGGATCCACAGCCTTGGATACCACACGAGGCAGATATACTCTGTCCTATACGGTTGCTATGAATTTAGTCAGAATCAATGGGGGGAAATGGGTTTTGTTTTACATGTGACTCTAACTGTAAGTCAAATGAATTGAACAAAATTTTAATACTGCATTTATCCACTACTCAAGAAAGACCTAAATGTTAAAAGAGGAGGAGTAAAAAAGATGAAACCTGTCTCCACTGTTTATGTTCATTTCTCCAATCACAATCTCTCTTACTCACATCTCTCTCTCTTTCTCACTTATAACATGCCAAGTCATTTTAGAAGGTGGCTATTAGGGGCTAATAGTGGTTGCTATTAGGGGCCGTCGATTTGGCTCTAACTCACAGTTAAGCCCATGTAAAACAGAAACAAACCCCCAACACTGCCAGGTCCTCTACCTTCCTCACAAATGCTGCTTCGCTGGGGCCCATGAGTGCAGCCCCTGTCCACCTTTTCACTGACCAGATCTGCATTACCCTTTCTAGGGACTAGTCCTTTATGATAATATGTTCTTGAGGGTTTGCTTTTTTTAAATTTCCAAGATTCCAACTACCAATAATTATCAATGTGTGCTGATTACACATTCGGTCAATTTCAAACTGCTGAAGGAGGTTAAAGCCTACAATTTCTTCATCTCTGGCATTAGTGGTTGGTGTGGTGGTACTGTTAGTGGTACTTTTGGGGGAAAAAATAACAGATAAAGAAACCCATTTTAAAGTTTTTCAATGTGTTCAGAATTTTTCTTCCTAATCCTTATCAATTACGTGTTTTCATCCATATCCAAATCCACTTGCTTTTCTTCTTAAAAGTCCGAATTAAAACTTAGCTACAGCTCAAGGATCAAAGGCTGCGTGACAGAGCACCCTCCTCCACACCTGCACTGACTGTGCTGCCACAGGACTGTAAGACTTAAGGACTTTGCACCTTATCTGTGTAACTGAACTTCCTCTTGACGGAATTAGCTTCTTCCCTTTATGAAGGAACTTCTTCCCCATCAGAGATCCCAAAACTAGCTTCTTGGGAATTGTTTCTTAAATTATTTTATGTCCTTGACACATTATGGCAACTGTGTACTACTTATTACTTTTATTCTTAAATCCATCTTTATATAGTTATTTCTTTTTACTTACTCTGTCTTTCCCTCAAAAATCTAAATTATTTGACAAAAGGATCTGAGTTTTTTCTTTTTTTGCATTTCTTCCAAATTATTCTGTTAAAATGGAAAGTCCGGGAGAACATGAGTTATTTTACTCACTACGATAGTCCGACAATCTAGTACAGGAGTCACTCAAATTATATTTGATGAATGCATGAAACATAGCTACTGGTCAGCAAGTATTATCATGACTTACTCTATAAATTGTACTAACAAAAGGACTTTCTAACTTGAGATTATCAAACATAAATGATGAACACTGAAATGAGAAACATTTTCAGACATTTTCATATCCCTTACCATAGTAAATAACGGTCAGGGCGAATATAAGTACACAACGTTGAAAATGGTAAAATAACTTTTAGAAATTCAGTGTAGTAGGGTAATTACATTTTTCATTTCTACTGATGCTTTTTAAAGGTCATTACTGTAAGTCTTTTACCCAACATACATAAACCTTTAGAAGAGGGAAGAAAGGAGAGAGGGGAGAAGGAAGATCTGAGAGATGTAGTTAACAGACTTCAACTAACAGAGGTTGGTAACAGAATATACATGAACTAATAAGGGACAACTTGAAATATGTTTCTAATTACAAAGTTCTTATCTCAAGATGAATACTGATGGTAACAGTTTCATTTTATCTACCCAGATGCAAGTTTCAGAAAACCCACACTTCTAGATCCCCTACCAATGATGTCAGAGGATATATTGAGCATCTACAAGTAAGCAGAAAGAAAATCCAATATCCTTCATCCAAGGGACCTCACCTCCCTGGCAATGTGAGGGAAGGGGTAAAACCTCAGGCACAGTCACGTATTTGGAGCTTAGAGGGAAGAGAGAGGTAGATTGACAGCACTGCAACAACCCCTCACACTATGGGTGGTTAAAACTGACTGATAAAGCCAATGAAAAGACAATCTGCACCCAATATGCATGAAATCTTTGTCACTCAATGGGAAGAGGAAAAGGTAAAAGAGCACGATATATGCCACTTTAGTGGCAGAACAGAAATATACAATATGGGCCGGGCTGACAGCAATGTTGGCTGACTGCAGATGAAGGAGGGCAACTTTGTTCTCATGATACAATGTATGTGGGGGGATGTATGTATGTATCTCCTAAGGGGGATTTGGAGATTTTGTAACTGAAAGCACAAAGAGTAAAGCAAACTAAAGTGTGAAGAAGGACTTGGGCCCAACACAGAACAGAACTCTGCAAAGAAGAAATCCATGCATTAGGTTTTCAAAAGATGCCACATTTTCCTTTCTTCTCCAATTTTGGGGTGGTTTTTTTTTTAAGTTGATGATTTCTTTTTATAATTACTGAAATTTATCAATATGGTGATTAAATATTTTTTAGCATTTAAATAATACATATTATCCTCTCCCTACTTTAAACATAAACTATGAATCTTACTTAGCTTTATAAGCAGTATAATAGAAACTTGGGTGAGTACTGGAGTTGGAAATTTCATCTACAGTGTGTGTGTAACAGAGAAAGAGATCATTTGTATTGTTCCATAGGTTTCAGATTCTCAAAGATATCTATGACCAAAACAAAGGTAAGAACTACTCCTCTAGAAAATAAATGTATACATATAAAAAGAAAATCACCCATTTTTTCCTTCCAATGAAACTCTCCAACACTCTCTGCCATGGAGTTAATAATGATTGAAAGTGACCTGTTCGGTATTAAGGCTGTTAATCTTAACATGTAGGGACTGTTCATCTTCCCCCCCTGGAGTGGCTGGGGGATACTCACCACTGGAAACAGGCTGTCTTTGGTTAGCAGAGCAACATGCGGAGGGTACGTTAAAATATACATTCAAGTTTATGTAACTGTGAACTCTCACCTGTAACTCTTGTGATTTACGAGCTTGTTCCTGCTTGATACTGCTAATCATACTTTCTTTCATTTCATCCAATATAGAGTACAGACTATCAAATTCTTCATCTAATTCTGAAAGTATATTAGAAGAATTTTCCTGTATATAAAAAAAAGACATTGCTTTTACTCAAAAGCTATCAAATATTTTTTTAAGTTACTGATAAAGACTGAACTAGGGGAAAAGGGTTAATTTCAGAAAGAGTAAACAAAAACTCTAACGGAAAAAAATAGGCAATTTTAACATTTTCTGTTCCCATTCCAACATAATTACAGTCACATTTCTTCAGCTGCTTTACCATGCTTCAGTGGTTTTTCATTTGTGTTAATGAAATAGTGAGATGTACTTTCTATACTTTTGGAACTTGAAGTAGCTTACAGACTCAGTAGTTTAGAGACAAGTTTTTGTCCTCTGTGCAAATGTGTCAGTTACTAGGTGGGAAAGTGAGCACATTTGGGCCAGTGTATAGTTTGCTGTGCCTCCATCTATCCAACTTATGCATTCATCCAGTGTTTTGACAGCAGCAAAATGTCTTGAATAAAAAATAGTTTTAAAGCTTTTTCTAGTAAAAGATGTCTGTTCTAAATCTTGATTGCTTTTCTCTTCCAAGTGCCCATCAACAAATGAATGGATAGAGAAGCTGTGGCATAGTCACACAAATGAATACTATGCAGCACTGAAAAACAAGGCACTCATATAAATATTATACTAAATAGGTACCCTGGAGGATATTACGCATAGAATTTCTCTTGAATTCTTGTGAACTAAAAAATTCTAGTTTGTCTAATCAGTGGTAACATAACTTTATTTAGTATTTATCATAGTAACATTAACTTAAAATTTTAAAACTGTTTTAAAAATTTTATCTATACATAAAATGGTAAAATACTGCATATGTGAAGAATATGGTGAATACATATATTCGGGGGGGGATTACTGATTAAAGGAGAAAACAGAGTCATGTTATTATGGGTTGATTAGTAGCCATCAAAAAGATAAAGACTTTTAATCATAAAAACACACAATTGTGACTTTATTTAGAAATAATTTAGCAGATTTAAATAGTGAACCTGAGACTATGTTTGGCACCTTGATTATATATGGCTGGTATCCTTTTAAAAAAGTAGAAACAGGAAAAAGTCATGTAAAGACACAGAGGGAAGATGGTCATGCTAAAGTGGAGGCAGTGATTATTGTTATGTTGCCACTAACCAACCAATGCTAAGGTCACCATTAGGAAAGCCATGAAAATATTGCCTAGAGTTTTCAAAGAAGGTCTCTGCCAACATCCTGTACTCAAGACTTTGCGTTTTCAGAGCAATGAGAGCATAAATTTCTGTTTTTCAAGCCACCAGTCTCTAGTATTTTGTTTCAACAGCCCAAGGAAATTAATGCACTACCTCAGCCTCATAGAAAAAACAAAATTCTCATATTTCATTTTTAAAATAGATACATTTAAGTTATCTGTAATGCTGAAAAACAAAACTAAGCTATGCCATGAGTAATGCATCCTTTAATTAACTAGTATATTCTCTTTGTGCTTCTAAAAAGAGTATGAAAGACTGTCTGGTCCATTATGTCTAATAAGGCAGAGCCTAAACAGCAGGTCTTAACCTGTACCATGCATGACGTCATCAGTGAAGTTTTTAAATAAAATATTGCAAATATTTTTATTCAGTAACAACTCTAGGGACCTAGTCTGGGCATGCGGCATGGGTCTGATTTTTTTGTGCCTTTTAAAGATCTTCAATCTACTGTAAACACTTCACTTACATAATATATGTAGAACTTAAAAGACTAAGCACTTCCTTAATGGATTCTAAGAGATTTCTTCAGTGGAATTTTAGTGCTAGAAGGAATTCAGAAATTATCCAGTGATTAAGATTTCTTATCAAATTTTATAAACCCAAATACAGATAGGATACCTGTCCAGAGTCACACAGCTGGGTACCTGTAGGAGTGTCAACAAGGTTTTACTTTTAAAACAGTTAAAAAATAATTTTAAATTAAAATAATTCTACTTTTTTTTTTTAGATAATTCTACTTTTGACTTCCCTGATTTGCTTACTGTCCTGCTAAGCAGGACATGGCTATGTCAACAGAAAAGAAAATATTTAAGAAATCTCTAGTTAAGCATAAGCTACTTTTGCAGTAACTGTAAAACAGAAAATTCTCTCAAGGCATTTTTCAATTTAGCAGAGTTACTCAATTAAGGAAAGCAAACTGACATGGACTGTTGTTATGTGCTGTCAAGTAGCCTGTAACTCTTAGTGACAACAGCTCTAACACCTGCTCTGTCCTGAGCCAGTCTCACTGACTCTGACAAACCTACTCCCATTGCCCTAGTTACTGTATCCTTTCATCTCATCTGGGCTTTTCCTCTCCTGCACAGTCAGTCATTCACCCTTTCAAGCATGATATCCTTCTCCAAAGATTGGTCACTCCTGGCCACATGCCCAAAGTATGTGAGATGGAGATTCAAAACCCTAGCCTCCAAGGAGAAACTTGGCTACACCTTTTCTAAGACAGACCTATTTGTTTTCTTGGCAGTCCATGGTATGTTCAAGACTCTTCTTCAGCACAACTCAAAGGCATCAATTCTTCTACCATTCTTAGTCATTATCCAGCTCTCTGATGTGATTGTGAAGACAGTGGCCTGTATGAGGGGCACCTTAGTCTCTAGACTAACACTGTTGCTTCTCATTACTCTGGAGAGGTCTCTGACAGCAGATTTACCTAATGCAATTTGTCTTGATTTCTTGACTGCTAGTGCCAAGAGTACTGATTGTGGAGCTGAGCAAGTTTTAACTGTTAACATCCTCAATCTCTTCTATATCTATCATGGTGCTGCCAATTGGCCCAATGGTGAGAATGTTTGTCTTCTTGATGTTGAGTTTCAATCTATACTAAAGACTATAGTCCTTCACTTTCTGCATCAAGCACTTTAGGGTTTCTTTAGTTTGAGCAAGCAAGGTTGTATCATTTGCATAATGTAGGTTGCTGATGAGTCTTCCTCCAATCCTGATGCCACATTCCTTCTCCTAAAGCCCAGCCTGCTGAATGATCTGTTCTGCAAATAGACAGAAAAGGTATGGAGCCAGCAGGCATCCCTGACACACTCCCTTCCCAATTTTGAATGAGGCAATGTTTCTCTGTTCTGGTCTGAGGACTGCTTCCTGGTTCCAAGGATAGGTTTTGCATAAGCACAATCAAGTGTTCTGGGATTCCCATTCTCTTCAAGGTTAACCACAATTTGTTGTGATCCACACAGTCAAATGCCTTTGATTGCTCAATGAAACGTAGATAGAAATTCTTCTGGTACTCTTTGCTTTCTGCCAAGATCCATCTGAAACTGATGATAATGTCTCTAGTGCCATGACCTCTTCTAAACCCAGCTTGTATTTCTGGTCGTTCTCTGTAAATGTACTGTTTCAGTTGTTTTTGTATAATCTTCAGCAGGATTTTGCTTGCGTGAGATATTGAATGATAATTTCCACTGTGTCAGGTGACCTTTTTTTGGAATGGGAATAAGTATGGACCTCTTCCAGTCAGTTGGCCAGGTAGTTGTCCTATGATAACCAATATGGACAATCTATTATAATATCCTATGTCCAAAGTTTTACTTATGATATTTATAAAAACCAACATTGTACCAGTGGAGTCTCACCAAAACCAGCTGTCGTTACGCTGAATCACCTTTGATTCATAACGCCCCTATGTACAACAGCTCTGAACCCTGCTCTATACTGCGACAACCTATTATCTCTGACACACCTATGCCCATTACCCCAGTCAATGAATCAATACATTCCATTGAGGGCTGTCCTTTCTTGCACTGTCCCTTCCATTCTACCAAGCATGATGTCCGTCTCCAAAGACTGGTCACTCCTTGCAACATGACCAAAGTATGTCAGAAGATGCTTCAGAATCCTTGCCTCCAAGGAGCAAGCAGCCTGGTCTCACCCTCTCTAGGATGAATGTGTTTGTTCTCCTATCAGTCCATGTTATATTCAATATTCTTGGTAGGAATTTTATAAAAATGAAAGAATTTTTCAAAGAGAAGAACAAACTGGAGGGGAGGGGTGGGCAGGGAGAAAAATGCAACAATGAATGAACGGAAATCCAAAATCTCTGTAAATTGTCATTAAAATGAATAATAATAAAAGAAGAGAGAGAAAAGGAAAAAAATACTCTTCTCCAACACCAGAGCTCAAAGGCATCAATTCTCCTTCAATCATCCCTAGTCATTGTCCAGCTTTCTGACATATAGCAAGTAACTGTGAAGACGATGGCCTGGATCAGCCACACCTTATTCTCCAAACTAACATCACTGCTCTTCAGTATGTAGGAGAGGTTTCTGACAGCAGACTTTTCCAATGCAATTTGTCTTCTGATTTCCTGGCTGCTACTACCCAGAGTACTGAGTGTGGGGCCAAGCAAACTGAAGCTGTTAACAGTCTGTCATGATGCTGCCAATTGGCCTAGAGGTAAGAATCTTCCTGCTGAGTCTTCCTCTAAGCCAGGTATTATATTTTTCCTCACAGAGCCCAGCCCAGCCTCCTGGATAATCTGTTCTTCACAAAGATTGAAAAGGTATGGAGATAGGACATATCCCTGGCCTACACCTTTCCCAACTTTGAACCATGCAGTGTCTCCTTGCTCTGTTCTGATTGCTGCCTCTTGGTCCAAGTATTGGTTTTGCATAAACACAATAAGGTGATCTAGGATTCCCATTCCAGTTTGCTGTGATCCATCCAGTCTTCCCATAGCCAATGAAACACAGACAATCGTTTTATTAGCTTATTTACAGTGGTAAGAACAAACTGAGTTAGAATATAATATGTGATCTGATACAATTAAATACCACATTAACCACTCAGTAACCATACGAATTTCGTCAAATAATTTCAATTCTTGGCCCTGTTTCTTCATCTGTTAAAAAAAACCCCAAAATTCCAACTCACATATTCTCTCCTCTCAACAGCCAATTGGCACTTACTGTCTCTTGTCTATTAACTCTCATTCTCCATCTTTAGTGGCAAGAGCGAACCTTCATATCCTTCTGTTTCTTGTTGGAGTCTAAGGTAAAGTTCTAACAATGATCAATCTGAAGAACAGTGTGCATCTATCTTCAGGTCTCTTCTTTCCAGATATCAAATGCAGTAATTCTCTTGTCAAGAGATGAGGAATTTCAGAACCACTGACTTCACTAACTTGAAGACAGTCAATTCACCATATTTTCCAATGAAAACATTAGTTAAAATGGTGAAAATCATAATCAATGAACTTTATTCACAATGAACTAGAAAATTTTCAAAAAATAATAAAGACAATATGGTCTAACAGTGTAAGAAGCAAGCAATTACAGAAATAAACCAAATAAACAACATAAGTTAACTTAGGCATATTTATGACAAAGAAGCACTAAATTATCCTGAGACCCTTTCACAATCGACATTTGACTACTTACAGTTTGCAGTCCTTCCCAACCTGGGAACCATATCTTTATGCCTTTCCTTTTAACTCTGTTGTTTCAATTTAATTTAGTACTAAAATTAGGTCTTTTATATTTTTCTTCCATGATATATTGTAAAAGAAATGCTTTACTTTTAAAATTTAGGGAAAGACACAACTTACTATTTATTAGAATTACAAATCAAGAGTAAGAAAAGTAAACACCAGAACATACTCCTACTAAGTAATATTTAAGTATTCATTTATCTTTTCAAATAATATCTTGCAGTGATAATAAAAATTTTTTTTACTTTTTCTGCTGGCATTTAAAATCTGCTTGCTCATAACTTAAAGACTTAATGGGGAATATTTATACTTCTGTTTGACCCAACAATCAATGACTGTAACATATTTCTACATATTCTTTATAAAGGATTCATACCTGAACTCCTTTTAATGTATGATTCAGTGTATCAATAAAGTTCTGAATTTCATCATTTTTATTTGCCAGAGTTGAAATAATCCTTTGTAGCGCTTCCTAGGATTAAAACAAAAAATAAACATATTCTATTTTTGGTTAAAAGGAGTAATTCTTACAACAATCATGTGTTAAATCCCTTACTTAGGAGTACACTGGGTGATATAGACGATTAAAGCTTCTCATTATTCAAAATTTATAAAGATTTACAGTTAGAAAAGACAGGATGTGCGTGTGTACTTTTTAAAAACTTTATTCCTAATATATAACTTAATCACCCTTACACCTTTCATGCCTTCAAACCACCATTTTGTCTCCTCGCTTTTACAGGTGAGAGTTACTCCTAGTCAGCTGATGGGAAATGAGGCGGGGCCTCTGCTCAGAGACAGGCTCACTTCTCTTAGACAGGGAAACACCTAGCTCTCAACCTCCACCTTCAAACTACCATTTGCCTCCTTGCTTTCAGCTCTTAGGGATCACCAATATTCAAGATGCTGTCAAATCATCATGACCTTCACCTAGAACAAGAGTGATGTCAAGGACCTGCCACTGAGCCACCACTGAGAGTAGAGAGCTGAAGATCTTGACTGCCCCACTCCACAAACTAAGCACAGTAGACAAAAGAAACACAGCTTACATTGATGACCTTTATCTCACACTGCTTCTGAGAAAGAGCAGAACAAAAGACTTCAGGAGAGAAAAAGTCATTAGGAGAATGTCCAACCCATGCTGTGCAAGAACACCAACATCACAGGGGAGTGGAGAAGGTAGTGAGTGGATAAAGGTGGGTAGAGGCCTGAGCCATCAAGCCAGAAATGGCTAGGGGAAGGGAGGTGCAAGGTGTTGGAGGGGGCAGGGAGAGGAAACTGAGCTGGATGCCAGCAGAGTAGAGGTAGGAGTGGGAACAACATATGTGTGCCTAAAGTGGTGGTGGGTGGGACCAACACCTGATCCATTATCTGAATAATGAGAAAAGTCTCTCATCTGCTCTTCTGGGAAAATTTCTTGTCTGTCAAATACTGCTTTAGAGTCGAGCATCCAAATTAATTAAGACAGTCTAGGGAGAAGGACTAGCCAACCACTCCCAAAGAAACAGGCCTCAGAAATCCTATGTACAATACAACACACCTAGTGTAAACTAGCAGATATGGCACCTGGGGCAGAATCTGAATCTTCTTTCTGTGAATGACAATGGAGGAGGAACAGCTGCAAACAGACACTACTGACTGGAATGTGCAGTGTGAGAAGTATGAATGTAGGAAAACTGGAGATTGTTAAGGAAGAAATGGAAAGCATAAATACTGACATAGTAGGCACTGGCAAAATGAAATGGCATGGGACATTTTCAGTCAGATCTACTAGGCTGGAAGAGAAAACATGAGGAAAAACTGGGCCACATTCATAGCTGAAAAGACCTACATCTTGGAATACAATGTTGTGAGTGACAGGATAGTATCCATATGCATACAAAGAAGACCCATTAATATCACTATCATTCAAATATATGCATCAACAACCAGGGCCAGACAGAAGGAAATAGACCACATCTACCAATGTTTGCAGTCAGAAACTGATCAAACTGAAACCAAGATACTTTGATAATAATGGGTGATTGGAATGCAAAAGTTGGGAACAGGGAAGAAGGGTCAGTAGTAGGAAAGCATGGAGTTGGTGACAAGAAATGAGGCTGGAGACAGAATGATAGAATTCTGGACAATCAATGACCAATTTACTACAAATGCTTTTTATAAGAAATATAAATGGCGACTACACCCATGGACTTCACCTGATGGTCTACACAGGAAATAGACTGAGCTGTGGAAGGATATCATGAATATCATTCATGAAGAATGCAAAAAGTCATTACAAAGAAATAGGAGAAAGGTTGGACGTCAGAAGAGATTCTGAATATTGCGATTCAATGCCAAGAAGTCGAAGCAAAGAGAAGGAATCAAGAAGTTAAGGAGCTGAACCAAAGACTTTAAAGGGCATTTCAGGAAGCAAAGTACTATAATGAAATATAGAAGGAGGTGGAGTAGGAAAGTAAAAAAGGATGAGCTCACTTGCCTATTCTTAAGCTGAGGGAATTGAAGAACAAATTCAAGACTCAAGTTGCAATACTTAAGGATGCTAAAGGCAGAATGTTAAATGACCCAGGAAGCATCAAAAGAAGATTGAAGGAGTACACAGACTTACTATGCCTAAAAGAACTGGCCAACACAGAAGAACTTCGTGAAACAATGTATGATCAAGACGCAATGGTGATGAAGGAGAAGTTCAAGCTGCTCTGAAGGAAATGGTATAAAAAAGGCCCCAGGAATTGATGGAATACCAACTGACATATTTCAGCAAAAAGATGCTTTCCTGGAGTTGGCCAACTGACTGGAAGAGATCTGTATATATCCCCATTCCAAAAAAAAAGGTGACCCAAAAGAGTATGGAAGTTATTAAACAATATCAGTAATATTGGAACAGTACATCAGCAGAGAACTGGCAGACGTGCAGACTGGTTTTAGAAGAGGCCATGGCTTAAGAGACATCATCAACCAATGTTAGATGGATTTTGGATGAAAACAGACAGTCCCAGAGGAAGGCATTTGACTGTGTGGATCACAACAAATTGTGGCTAACCTTGAGAAGAATGGTGATTCCAGAATACTTAATTGTGCTCATGCAAAACCTATACTTGGACCAGGAAGCAGCATAGTTAAAACAAAGCAAAGATCACTGCAAGGTTCAAAATCAGGAAGAGAGTGAGTCAGGGATGCATTATGTCTCCATACCTTTTCAATCTACATGCAGAAGAGCTCATTCCAGAGGCTAGACTTTATGAGGAGGAATGTGGCATCAGGACTGGAGGAACAGGACTCATCAACAACATACATTATGTAGATGACACAACCTTGCTTGCTCAAATTGTGGAGGACATAAGGCATTTGCTACAGAAGGCCAAGGACTATAATCTTCAATATGGATTGATTTCAGCTCAACATCAAGAACACAAAGATTCTCACCACTGGGCCAATTGACAGCTTCATGACAGAGAAGAGACTGAGACTGTTAATAACTTTAGTTTGCTTGGTTCCACAATTAATACTCCTGGTATCAGCAGTCAGGAAATCAAAAGATGAAATTCATTGGGAAATTCTGTGGTCAGAGACTTCTCTAAGAGTAACGAAAGAGCAATGATGTGAGTCTAGAGACTAAGGTGTACCTTAGACTCAGGCCATGGTCTTTGCAATTACTTGCTATGCATCAGAGAGCTGGACAATAACTAAGGATGATAGAAGAAGGACTGATATCTTTGAGTTGTGGTGCTAGAGAAGAGTGTTGAACATACCATGGACTGTCAGGAGGTAAAAAAGGGGCCTGTCTTGGAGAGGACAAAATCAGGCTGCTTCTTGGAGGCAGGATTTTGAAGCTCCGTCTTACATACTTTGGGCATGTGGCCAGGAGGGACTCGCCTTTGGAGAAGGACATCATGCTTGGAAGGGTAGAGGGACAGCATAGGAAAAGACAACCCAGAATGAGATAGAGTGACTCAGTGATTGGAGAAATGGGGGTAGGTGTGTTGGAGACAAAAAGACTGACTCAGGAATAGGGCAGGATTCAGAGCTAATGTACACTGGGTCACTATGAGTTGCAGGCAACTAAAAGACATTCAATCAGGAATCATTCTAGGTACAGCAGTAGCTGCTGTTACTGTGTAACATCAAGTTGGAACTGACCCATAGCTAACCCCTCTGCTGGGTTTTCAGAAGCCAGTAGAGAGAAGATTGCTCATCCTTCTCCCATGGAGCAGATGGTGGGTTCAAATTACCTGCCTGTGGGATCACAGCAGAGCTTCGTTCCATTAGACAACCAGAGCTCCCAAGTAAAGTAGTTGTTGCTGTTGTTTTAGGTGCTGTTGAGTCAAATATGACTCACATGAAAAAAAGATCTGAACCCTGTTCTATCCTGTGGCATCCTCATACCTCCTGAAACACAAGGGCCCACTGCAGCAGTCACCATGTCAATCCACCTGGTTTCGAGTCTTCTTCTCCTTCACCAACCCTCCACCCTTTCCAACATCATGTCCCTCTCCAAGAATAACCCTTACCAACAACATCCTCAAAGTATGTAAGGTGAAGCCATCACTCTTGCCTTCAAAAAGCACTCTGGCTGCATGCTCTCCAAGATGTATCTGTTCTCTTGGCCATCCATGGGATGTTCAGACACTACAGCTCAAAGGTGTCAATTATTTTTCTGTCATCCTTACTCAGCTCTCAGATGCATAGTGATAGGAAAGATTATGGCTGAATCAGGCGCACCTTAATCCTCAAACTGACATCATTACTCCTCAAGAATTTGGAGAAGTCCCTAAGTGAAGATCTTCCTAGTACAAAGTTTCTCCTTATTTCCTGACTGCTGGTACCAAGGGCATTAATTGTGGATCCAAGTAAGATGAAGACATTGACAGTTTCAGTCTCCTCTCTATCGACCATGACACTGCCTATTGGTCCAGGAGTAAGAATCTTTATTTTCCTTGACATTGAGATACAATCCATAATACAGGCTGCATTCCCTGCTATTTTGCAACAAGTACTTCGAGTCCTCCTTACTTTCAGCAAACAAGGTTGTGTCATCTGCATGACGTAAGTTATTAATGAGTCCAGCTTCTTGGATAATACGCGTACAAGGAAGTTCAGTGAAGACCACTATCATTCAAATATATGCACCAACAACCAGAGCCAAGGAAGAGGAGATAGAAGATTTTTACCAACTTTTACAGTTGGAGATTGATCGAACATGCAATCAAGATGCACTGATAATAATGGGTGACTGGAACACAAAAGTCGGGAACAAAGAAGAAGATTCAGAAGTTGGAAAACATGGACTCGGTGACAGAAATGGAGCTGGAGAGAGAATAATCGAATTTTGTACAATCAATGATTTATTCATAGCAAATACATTTTTTTATTATTTTATTAGTGTCTGTGTGTGTGTGTGTGTGTGTGTATGTGTGCGCGTGCTCGTGTGTGCGTACCGTCAAATCGGATCTGACTGGTACAGGAGGAGAT